CTAGCCTGAAGATAACGAAAAAATTGGAATTAGGCAGGTCGTATTTAGATGATAGGTCAGAAAAGGATAGAAAGGTGTCATGACTGTACAAGTCCTTAACAGTCCTAAGTCCTTTATCTTTCCAAATTCTAAAGGCCGCGTCAGTGTTTGAAGGTACAAGATTGCAATTCTTTAGTAAAGGTGTTAGCAAAGACGGCCCAAGTAGCCCAAAGTATTTTCTGAACTGTTGCCAATAGTTGCCGTTCCTTAGCTATTTGATTCTCCCAAACAAGGGTTGGAGAGATGGGGAGTGGTGAGCTGAGCAGTGATGGGAATAACAGCGTTACTTTTTTCAGTAACGAGTAATCTAACTAATTACTATTCCTATCGTTACAACGCCGTTACAGTTACTAACAAGAAAACGCGGTCCGTTCAACAAACAGACGGTTGAAGCTGTGTTCAGCTTACCACATCTTATATCAGTTGCACGGAAGTAGCTGACTACGTAAGTAATCTGGACACTACCCGGTTGTTCAGTCTGACGTCACTAGCCATGTCTGGGCCTAAACTCCGCTGCAGGTCCATATATCAAACGATCACTATGGCATTACTGAGAGTTGAAAAACTGTCTAAAGTCTTTCATCTTTAATAAAATGATCAGCGTTCTGCTCTACCAGGTGTAACAATTGAGTTTAACATCCAGGCATCCATGAAAACGGAATTTATGACATTTAACGGAGTTAGAAGTTAGCAGGGAGTTAGCTCGCTAGCTTCTATCTAAATACAATATAGCATGTCCTGACTGCGGGGTTTTGGAAACAAATTAAAACGTACATCTCTGTTATCACTTCCAGCATAAATGAAGACAGAAAACTAAACAGCAGTGACGGTTGTAGGGTTACTGAAGTTGGGCTAACTGGTATATAATGATGTGCTACGTGACCGCTAGCGACACAGCTATGTTAGCATAATATAAACAAGCTAACTTTTTTTCCACTCGATAAAAGTTAACGTGAGTGTTCTCGGTGGTCAGGAACAAATGTAATCGCATGGCAGGATGCTGTAAAAGGACCAAACTTCAGCCAGGAGAACAACTGAGATAATCCATCCACAATATGAGGTTAGTCATTCATATACTGCTGCATGGCTGGGCTGTAGTTACATCCTAAGGTTTTAAAAACGAAGCTTAAATAAATGATTAGCGGTAATAAAAGCCGAGGGAGGTCAACAGGGATTACTGACTGTTTTAGGAGCTTTTTGAGATTAAATAGAAGAAAATACATAACATTAAACATGTTAACAACACAAAAGCCATAGACCCGGAAGTAGGATTCGTCGCGTCATCACTGAACAACCGGACAGCTTTAAGCAGCTACGCGCACTCCCGCGGACGGTAATCACAATCACCGTCTAGCACATACCTTCCCAAAGTGTGGGGCCCGCCTAGGGGGGGCGCAGAGCCATTGCAGGGGGGGGGGGGAACAAAACGCTAGCACAGGGCGGCCACAGAAACACAAAGCATACAGGTAAAATAATCACACCGTGACGCCTTTGCCTTTGTAAATGGAGGGACAGTAACTCCATGTGTATATGTAAGCGTGTAATACCTGCAGAAAGTCAGATTAACAGCATTTCGCCTCTATCTGCTATTCTGCAATTCATCTCATGGAAAGAATAACGTGGCGCACAGCGTGACGTGAAAAAAGGCACTCACCTTTGAAGTTGTGTGACGAACTCTGTATTCCTTGTCCACAGGAAAACGCAAAAAAGGAGTTTTAAAAAATCTCAGTTTTCGGTGATTCGAAACACCATTTACGTGTGGACGAAACAGCTGCGTATTAGTAGTTTATTTTCTTACTACCTGTAATTTATTGCAGATTACTTGTATTTGCTTAATTGTTTACTAAATGTTTGAGGTGTGAAATAAACCGCAATGGAGCAAAATAAGGGTGTGTGTGGTTGGAGTATGTGTGCGTGCGTGTGGTGCGCGCGCGCACGCGCGGGAGGGGATGGGGGGACGCGAACATTTTTCTTGTAAAACAAAGGAGGGCCCAGCAAAAAAAGTTTGGGAAAGCTAGTCTAGCACAACACCTGGAGCTAAGGGGGCAAAACAATGGCATGAGTGCTGCTGTTTCACTCAGGAAGAATAAAGTAGTCGTGGTAAGCCAATCACATGACCACTTAAAGACAAAGCAACAAGGTGATATATACCAGTTTTTAAATTGTGTTTATAGGCCACGTAAAACCAGAGTCATGATAAACAATATATACGCAGCATTTTTTCATCAATAGTTTTGTCACGTTTACTGTCTAAGGACAGCGCTAGCAAGCACTCTCTGCTTATGAGCCAAAAAACAAAAAAAAAAAACTGGGAAGTTTTAGGAGTGACAGAGAGAGAGAGAGAAAGCAGAAAAAGAGAGAGAGCGAGTTTTGAGATGTGAGAGATTTGTGACGTTTAGCGTGTTTGGAGTGTGTAGTTAATGTGTTGTCTTGTGTAGTTACTGTAGTGTGTAGTGTTGTGGATAGTTTTGTGTTGTGTGTCAGAACAATGAGGCGACTGCTGTCCCCAGGTAGGAAAAAGGAGTGATACACCTGCTGCTGTCAGGCCTGCAGGTATCAGGCTGTGATGTTCTCCTTTATAGTGGACAGAAATGATTGTTTTGGAGTGGCACAAATAATTTGTGTGGCATCTTATTGAATGCAGAACAGCTGATTGTTCTGTAAATAGTTTGAAATGGTTATTTTTAAAAAAATCAAGGTAAAAAGTAAATGGATGCAAATAACTTTGTTGTTTGCAAAACTTGTGCATAGGATTTTAAAATTGACAATTTATATTTGCATTTAAAGTTCTGAAATATGATTCATTAAACATGTTTGTGGTTGTTACAGTAAAAAATATAACTTTTTCTACTCTGATTTTATGTTGTTTGTGTGATTTTAGATCAATTGGGTTAATACAGTATGTCAAAATGAAAAGATGACTGTAAATTCAGACACGTGAGGTTGTGTTGAAAAGAATGATACCAAACAAGGCAAAGTAAATCGTTTTTAAAGGTAAAATGTGGAGGGAAAATCAAAAGTAGTTAAAAATGGCCAATTATACCCTGGAGGGTTAAATTATTATTTTTTTTAAATAACAGATTAGTTAGTTTTCGAGTAATTAATTACTTTTAGAATATTGTAACTCAGTTACTAACTCAGTTACTTTTTTGAAGAAGTAACTAGTAACTATAATTAATTACTTTTTCAAAGTAACTTGCCCAACACTGGAGCTGAGTATTGATGATAGTAAGTAACAGCTAGATGCTGTTTCCATTTGTACCCGGGCCGGTACGGGGAGGTCATTGTGAACCCAATGTAAGAGTTTTTGTATGTTAGCTGCCCAATAGTAGTGTCTAAAATTGGGCAGGCGAAGACCACCGTCATTGAATAGATTTACAAACTCTAGCTTGTTTCCTACCCCACATGAAATGTGACAGAATCTTTTCTAACTTATTGAAGAATGCTTTAGTAAGAAGAAGGGACATGTTGAAAAAGATACAAGAATTTGGGGAGGACATTCATCTTTATCAGATTAACTCTGACAATGGTAGTGAAGTCCAATGGTCACAGTCTTTCCCAACGTTTTCTAATAGGGATAGAAAATTCTCCCTCATCATTTTAGGTATAGAAGAAGAAATAAAAACCCACAGATATCCAAATCTGGTTTCTGTCCACTTAAAGCAGGGGTCCCCAATCCCAGTCCATGTGGGCCGGTGTCCCTGCAGGTTTTAGATGTGTCCTTGATCCATCACAGCTGATTTAAATGGATAAATTACCTTCTCAACATGTCTTGAAGTTCTCCAGAGGCCTGGTAATGAACTAATCATGTGATTCAGGTGTGTTGACCCAGGGTGAGATCTAAAACCTGCAGGGACAGCGGCCCTCGTGGACTGGGATTGGGGACCCCTGTTCTATAGTCTTGCTAATGACCTACTAGGTGTGTTGCAACAGGGACACATGGAAAAGTTGCAGGACAGCGGCCCTCGAGGACTGGAGTTTGAGACCCCTGCCATATAGTATAGCTGCCAATGGACAGATTCAAGGTTTCGATGGTTACAACCTTGTGCAGTAAAGAGGATGTTGTATTACAAGATACAATAAGCCAGCTGATCGAGTTGTTTCACTAACTCATCTACACAAGACATTTTGTATCGCAGCCATGGGAGCTGACTTGAACTGACAACTTCAATCTCCATGTTTCAACTTTATTGTCAAAATAATTTAGAGTTAAATCTCGTAATTATGACTTTATTCTCAAAATCAGTTGCACATTGATGATTTTTGATGGCTACAGTCTAATTGTTTTATATTTCAACTTTCCCTCATATATTGTCTTAAAAGTCTGATGGATGATTATAAAGAAATTAAAGTTTTCCCCACATGCAGCTGAAACAGTCATGCCTTGAAAACATGCTTTCTTCTCACATTCATCCAGGCTGCTAAATTCTTCTGCTCTGTGGTGCTTTGTAGTTTCTTTACCTTTTTGTCATCTCGCTTAGACGTCCTGTCTTTTTTTTTTTAAATTAAAGCAGACTTCAGCACTTCATCCTTTGTGATTGTAAATGCTTAAATAAAACAACTTGAAGAAACAGGTGTGACTCTCCTTTTCAACAATTTTAAGTACACATATATTTGTAAACTGTATACATACACAGCCTTCTGCTGCTTACATTCTTTCTATTTCATCTGTAGATATTTTGAACATCTTATATCTCTATTGTATTTCTTCTATTGTACCCATTGTAGTTCTTTATAGTTGTTTCTATTGCTTTTAAATAATCATTTATCCTATTTATGCATTTTAAGTGGATTTTTTCACAGCAAAGGAAGAATGTCATTGCACAGGGAAACAAATATCTTTACTCTGCATATGACAATAAAACTTTGATACACTAAATTATGTTTTTTTTCTTACGTGGCCCTCATTTAAAAGGTCCCCCCCCTCTTTTTTCCCTTGCCCCTCCTCTCCTTCGGCCAAAGCAGGCACACCTTTCCCTCCGTGGTCCTCCAGCGTTTCTTACCTTCTTGTCGCTGCTTTGAGCCTCGTTGTCTGGCTGTGAACTCTCACCCCAGCTGCTTGGGAAATGTCATACAGGCAGAGGCCCGTGCTGCAGTAGGGGGGCGTAATAGGAGGAAAAAATAACATTTTCACTGCTCTCACTGCATCTTTTTTTATTCGCGTCTCTGAGGTGCAAGTGCCACATCCCCGCTACCAACACCACCACCAGCAGCAGCAGCCGCCGATAACTAACCGCAGTCTCAATGCTCACCTCGCATTAGGACTGATATTTAAAAAAAAAAAAAGAAAAGAAAAGAAAAAATCCGTGCCAGACATGTGAGTAGCAAACCATCGCTTGTCGCTCTCCACTTACCCGGTGATTGCTGTGCGCTCTCGCTATTGTATCCTCACACCAACGAGAACAGATGGTCATTGAACTGTGTCGTTGTGCTTTTGGTGTCACTGTGCTGTTTTCGTGGCTGCACGATCGCGTTTGCGGGGCAGGCGGCAGCCTCGCTGGCGGCTTGTTTTGGGCTCTGCGTCGGCTTGGCTAATTGAGCAACGAGGCTGTGATTTTTCGGCTGTAAATAGCTCCGTGGGAGGGAGACCCATTCATTCAGTGGCCGTGTGATAAGTGTGTGTGATGTAGCTATTAGCTCTTTAGCCCGCTTGCACTCATCCCCCCCCTTCCAAGGTAGCCGTGGATTTGGTGTGGAGACAAAACCAGCCTGGTGTTTCCAGTCAGATGCGGAGGCCCAGGTTAGAGCGCACATAATGCGGCGGTGTTGATGTGAAATGTGTTTTTGGCCCCTCTGAGGAGCACAAACTGAGCTGGAACTACAAAGCTGATGCAGATGCGTGCACGGGGATCATGCAGGAGGTCTCGTTATTCGCTTGTGATCTGGGATGTACTTCAGTGCAAGGAACTCCCTGTACTTTCTTTTGACTGACTGTAGTATTCTTAAGTGTTCTGCGGGGTTTGTTTGGATTATTGCAACGATTCATTGGTGTACTTACTTCCTTTAAACGCCCCCCTTTTTTCTTTAAATCCCAAACTTCCACATTGGCATTACCGGAGCTGTCTATTTCCTCAATTCCTCTATTTCCCGCATTTGATTGGATGCTTTGGTTCTAGAAAGCTGGCATGATGAGTAGAAATATAACTGCAAGATACTGTGTTGCATTCTTAGGCTATAATTTGACTAATTAGGGTATTTACTCCATTATATATCTAGAAACACTACTGACATCCAGCCATTACACCGTCATCTCTAAACAGTCATGTTATTATTATTATTTTTAAATAACCTTAAGAATAAATAGTCTTATTACAGTTTTTGGTCCTCAAAGATTATAAAATAGCTACATGAAGTTCTGAATTTATTGCTTTTTGTAATTAAATTTGTCAGCATGTAATTGAAAGGTGATGGGAAACGTGCGGAGGAGGAGATGACATGCAACAGGTTCAGAGTTTTAAAACTCTGGGATGTTCACAATGACCAAACTCATGCTTTCCATATGGTTGAAGACAAGGTTCCTGCAATGATTTCCAACTCTTCTACTCCTCCGTCCCTCATGGTTTCAGGGGGAAGAACATTAATCCTCTTTGGAAGATGTCAATCCAGCAGACTAACTGGCTTGTGATGCCAATGCCCAGCAGAAGATCCTGGGACTGAGACGCGGATCCCTTTACACTGATGGCCTGGACTGAGTAAGTCATTCAGTGTTTGTTTATTTATTTTTATATGAGCACTGTGTGTGATAGTGTTTGCTTCATCCGTGACAGGTTTCAGCTGGCCTGCTGAAGCTATGGGGAGCTGTTGGAGCTGTCTATACAGAGACCCCATCCGAGACAACCATCTCACCAAATTTAAGGTCAGGAATCCCCCAAAATCTTGTATATGTTTTTTTTTTTTTTCCTCCTTACATAACAACTGTCCATTTGTGTCCATTTAAACTGTAGTAAACTGACGTGCCTTCCCATTCACTTCACGTCATGCTGTTTCCGCCTCTGCTAGGTCACAAATGTAGACGATGAGGGCAACGAGCTGGGCTCTGGGATCATGGAGCTCACCCAAACTGAGCTCATTCTTCACACACGTAAGAGGGACGCCATCCGGTGGCCATATCTCTGCCTGCGTCGCTACGGCTATGACTCCAACCTGTTTTCTTTTGAGAGCGGCCGCCGCTGTCAGACCGGGCAGGGTGAGTAACATTTTCTCTGATTTTCTGCTTTGGTTACACGCCTGTAGAGTCGCTGTGGGAGTTGTTGTTGTTGTTGTTGTTTTGTACGTCTTTTTGTACTAACCTAGGTTGTCCTTGTAGTATCTTTAGGTGTGGGCCACTTTGGGTAATTTGAAAGGATTCAAATGTAAGTCATGCAATCTGCTCCAATTCATTGAACACTCATCAAAGGATGACTTGGTGTGTGTGTGTGTGTGTGTGGGGGTGTGGGGGGGGGGGGGGGTGTTTGTGAAATTAAATACAACTCTTATTTTAAAGGCAGTCAGAGGTGAGCTTGCGTGCTTACATTTGTGGAGAGCAGATTACTGTGTTCAAGAATTAGTTTGAAGAAAATCTGGAGCTTCAGGTGAAAAACAAAGCAGGGAGTTTTGACTTTTTCTCCTCAGCTCTGGACAAGAGCTGTGATGATCTGCGACACAGGAACTCAAATGGGACATAAACTGTTAACCGATGGCTATCCGTCGATGTCCACCCGACAGGAAAAAAATGTCAGTCTTTTGAAGCAAGTGATAGATGAAGTGACCGAAATTAATCCAGAAGTGAAACTGGTATTTTTGCATTGCACCACAAATCATGTGGTGTCATGTAAGTCGGTGCTAAATATTAACTGTAGTTGATGTAACTAAAATAATTAACTTGGTCGGACTTTGGCTTCACTGCTGGTCGAGCACTTCAAGTCCCTGCTGGATTTTTTTTATTCTCCTCTCAAAGATGATGAAACATGCTCAGAAGATGTTGGCTCTCTTTGGATCTACCTTCATATGTGAACAAACATTCTCAGTGAGGAAGTTAAACAAATCCATATACAGAACCTCTCTGTGGCCATTTCCACCTGAGGCACTGAACCTGACTTTAATGCAGTTGTTCAAGTCCCAAAACAAACCAGACTTCTCTCTCAGTGATCGAGAAAAAAGGAACCGACCACCTCTGTAATATGGCCGATGTCTCTTTCAAGTAAGAAGAGACCTTTGTACGTCCTAAACGTGTTGTCATTGTGCTCTGGGTTTTTTTTTTTTTTTTTTTTTTTTTTTTTTTTTTAAAAATAGGAATCTTTGCATTCAAGTGTTCTCGGGCAGAAGAGATCTTTAATCTGCTCCAGGAGCTGATGCAGTGCAACAGCATCAACGTGGTGGAAGAGTCGATGATGATGAGTCGGAGCGGTCACACACCAGAGATGGACATGTCTCGCACACCACAGACACCCAACAGTGAGTCACACAACACCAAACGCGCACACAAACAAAAGGATGCACTTTGAGACTAATTGCAGATGTTAGATGCAGTAATCCGTCGCTAAATTTAGCAGAACTTCTACAAAAAAGGCTTTGCAACTTTATTTTGGAGTGTTTTTCTTAAGCTGATGAACTATTTTCCCACACACTTTCTCAGAGTGATGAGTCTATCACCATCTTTACTTCTGAATGACTCAGCCTCTTTAGGAAACTCTTTTTATACCAAGTCATGCTACCGAGCTGTTGCCAGTTAACCTATTAAACGGTTTCTTTGAGTCTTTGGTTGCCACTGTTTAAACAGTTCCTGGCATCAAAATGAGATGAAACGGCTGCCTGATAAGTTAAATGCCTAATCAGTGTGTGAGAAATGGAGGTTTCCATGTCACATTCTTCTAAATGACATATTAGACCTTTTCATTCTTGAAATGCTTAATCTTGAACTCATAATTGAAGAAAAGTTGTCAGTTTCTGGAGGAAAAACAAATGAGCCTCTTTTCCCCATTAGGAGTTTTATGAGACGCCTTTCAGGTTATGAAGTTTGCCCCAGTTTTGTCATATTTGTTTACAGTCTCTGCTACTTTAGTGAGAGGCAGGTAGCCTGTCCAGGGCCTAATAGCAAAGTGGAACGCTTACTGAGGAGCCTTTAGGTTAAAGAGCCCAAGATTTCCATTCAAAATCAGTGAACACCAAAACAGAGCCAGAAGAGAGTCAGTGTTGAGCAGTCATGTTGCTCATTAACGGTTGCATGTGTTAAAGAAGACAACAGTTTGGCAACAGGTTCACTATTTGAAGGTAAAATAGTTTCTACTGCCCCCAAGTGGCGACAACATCAATTGCTTCAGGTTTAACCAACAAATGCATAGTGACATCTCATCTCATTTCACACTTTGAAGCGTAACACAGCCAGAAAGACTTGCTTTCATTATTACATTTACATTACTGTATTAGGAAAAGACACTACCATGTCAGCTAACTGAACCTCTGTAAATGCACTTCAAGCATTCCTTCAAGCACTTCAAATGGTCCTAAAAATGGATATCACTGTTATCCTCTTTGGCTGGAGGATAAAACAAAAAAAACAAAACATGAAAAATCAAAACATTGTCATATTTTATTTTTGATTGTGAAAGTGCTGCTGGTCTTAAAAGGTTTGCTTTGGTGAAGTTCCTTCTTCTTTGGTGATTTGTTATTCTTGTTGATATAATCCCTTTTTAATGTTGTGGGTTTTTTTTGTTTTTTGTTTGTTTGTTTTTTTTATGTATCCACTGATTTACTGCAAAAAGGATTTTAAATAACACTTTAACATTTAATACTTTACGTGACAGCCTCACTTGATTTATTTATTTATTTTTCTTTACCTGTACCAGCTCCAGCATTTCCTATCCAGGCTTTTCCCAATGGATACCCTGGTTATCCAATCAGAGGAGATTCCTCTCAACCATCGATTGCTGATGATCATGGACATAGCCTCATGGGTTTGGAAGACCAGGTGAGACCTCTGAGTGCGCTTTTAACTGGACTTTAGCTGTGCTGTTTCGCCAATGTAACAAAGTCTTTATTTTCTCTTACAGACCCACACCTATGTAAATACTGTGAGCATGGAGGGGGATCTTTCCATGCGTCATTGTGTGCACTCTCTACCTGAGGTACGGCCTAGCACTTTTCCTGAAACAACACGGGGAGCCATGCCTGTAGGGGGCCAAGGAAATCCGCAGTCCAACCTGCGGTGCTGTCCCCTCGAGGAGCATAAAGATCCTCAGGTGTTCCTACAGACGTCCTCGCAGGAGGTCAAATTCATGCTGGGTCCCACTCCAGCGCAACGGCATCTGCTGGAGAGAGAGAGGGAGAGGCACGGGCACAATCCTCACAACCTTCAGCCAGTAGAGGGCGCAGCAAGCTCAGAGACGGAAGGAGACGAGCCCTCTATGCACCTGTGCAACTCTCACTCCTACCACCATTTCCATCATCACATGCACCGGCACCTGGGCCATGAGCACCAGGAGGGCTGCCAGAGTGGCGAGCTCACGTACGAGAATATCAACGGCCTGCGAAGTGGCCGTAAGCAGCGTCTGAGTCCCAGCAGCGTGTCGCAATCCGTAGGTTCAAGCAGCAGTAGCAGCACCGGGGACAGTCATTCTCACTCCCTCTTACACGGTCACGGGCCGACATCGCTACCCCCGCAGGGGTACTCCTGTGAGAGGGGCATGGGTGGAGCTCATCGTCGGACAGCTCTGCTTAACTACGAGAACTTACCCTCTCTGCCGCCGGTGTGGGAGTACAGCGCTCTCCAGCGGGATGATGAGCAGGAAGAGGAAGACGATGACCAGGATGATGAGGAATATGAAGAAGAAGAGGAAGATTTTGATGAGTACGAATTCTCAGAAGGCCCCGGGACACCCAATGGTTACCATCAAGACGGCCGGGGCATACACAGAGACGCCCTGCAGAACTATGTCAACACAGAGCAGGTTCAGCCTCCCCGGCTTCGACACGCCTGCCCCCCGCATCCACGGCCGTGTCACCCAGACAGAGGGGGGCGAATATTTAGCTTTGATTTCCGCAGACGATCGAGGTCAGGGGTTGGAGGTTGTGAGCACAGCCACATGCCTCCTTCGCGGCAGCTGAATTACATCCAGGTGGACCTGGAAGGAGAGCCTCCCTGCCAAGCCCTCAGCAGCGGGGGTGCCCAGACCCAGCCACAGCACCAGCGCCTACCACCCAAAAAATGTGGTCCGCAGGCACCCCGGCGCAGCGAATGCTACGCAGTCATTGACCTAAAGAAGACCGCTGCCATGTCCAACCTGCAGAAAGCTCTGCCCAGGGATGATGGGACTTCCAGAAAGACTCGCCACAACAGCACAGACCTGCCTCTGTAAATGGTGTTCGAACTGAGAAGGAGCAATGAAGACAGATGAAGGCTTATCCTCATCTTAGCACACTGGACCCTTCACTGTCATCCATCCATTCAACTGTCGGGCTGATCAGTACAGTACAGGTACCTAATTAGAAACTTACTGAAACCTAACTGTGCATATACAAGCAAAAGAGAAATCTCTGAGGAGAATTTGCCATTTTATTTTGTGTTGTCAGATATTTGGTGTAAAGCTCTCTGGAGAAATCTGCATTTTTTTTGTTGCAGATAATTGCTGGATATTTGAATATTATTATATCTAACCATAAAGTCACATATGTGTATGTAAAATATATGTATATTTGACTTTTGGCTTAGTTTGGCCGAGAGTTTAGCAGAGAGTTATACGTAGAAGCAGTCGTTGCCATAATGTTTTAGTGCAAATCTTTTAAAACCATCCACACTCATAAATGTTGTTGCTCCTATCATATAGTTTGCCAAACACTTTGAGTGTCAGAGTTATGAACCTCATCTCCGAAATTATGTTGTTAGCATGAAGGATGGTAATGGTTCCTCCCAGATACTGGTCAATGTTCATACCTCATCAAAAGCACTTAAATCTAATGTTGTGGCTAGTAGAAGAGACCATTATTTGTTACTGTATGCCTATAGAGCATTTTGCACACAATCCTATGGAATTGTATTTCATCTTTTTTTTTTTTTTCCTTTTTTAAGGAGTTATTTAGTTCAGTCCTAGCTTAAAAAAAATGATGGCTTAAACAAATCGAAGAGAATGTGATATTTGAAGAAATATACTAAACTAAATGATGGTGAAAGTAGCACACATGCATTAAATGAGCTTTAGCTCCCTCCTGTCAACATGCAGCAATTGAAAAAGTAGCATATCAACTTTGATCACACCTCCTGCTTATCATCTCAAACCTGCAGGAGGTTCACGCTTGTCACGTTGCACTTTTGACCCTGGGCCGCTGAAACGCTCTTTGTCACCACTCCCGCGCCACTGGAGCCACAGGTTGTGTCCTTTTACCAAAAACAGGGGTTCAAATATTTCCCGGAGATAATAATGTAGATAGTTTATTTAAATGTTCTTGAAAGAGATGCTGATAACCTCAAATCGTGGCATTAAGCTATAACCTCACACAAAATGTTGTCAGTTATCAGGTACGGATGTTCTGTTTGAAAAGGGTTGTCGCAAAATCATCCACTGAAGATTTTTGTGAGAGAAATTGTCAACCAATTAACAGATATTTATTTATTTATTTATTTATTTATTTCACTTTAATTTATTCTCTCTCTCTCTTTTTTGTTTTGTTTTGTTTTCCACGTGACGACCAGCGTTTTGTAGTCCAGTTGGTAATATGGAGACCAAAGTTTCACCTCAGATTACCACTGGACACTGATGTATTACTGTTATAACTGTGCTTAATTATATTTTAAACAAAAGAAAGACTGTATTTATATTTTAAGTGCCAAAACTTAATTCCAAACTGTACGATGAATAAAATCAAATGTGCCATTTGGGTTGGTAGAAATCTATAGGACAGAAAGGCATAAGAGGAGAACAGTCAGAAGACAAAAAGGAAAAAAGAAAATCCTGCTTTTTAAGGATAACACAAGCTAAAATAATAAAATCTGCACATTCCACCTCATCCACATCGACAGCCATTTCGAAGGGGCATATAAGAATGGTAATCTTGTGGTCTGATAATCACTGTTAGGGTGGTTTTTATGCTGCTACTTGTACATACTGACAGTAGCCCATGTAAGCTACATGAAAAAAAATGTGATGTCAGATCCTTATCATATCGTTGATAGAAGTAGCATTGTTGTGTTCTCCTGAGATTTTTTGTTTTGTTTTGTTTTCTCAGAGCTGTAGAAATGTCACGTACCATTTAATTGAATGTTTTATTTGACCAATATTTCATGTAATCGAGATTGTTTTCTGATTAACTAACTGTCTGGTATGGGGAGAGTTAATGGAAGCACACAGATCTCTTTCTTTGTTCTGCTTTTTTTTTTTTTTTTTTTTTAAATGAGCGTTCACATCAGGGTGATGTTTTCAGCCTATAAAGGAAGGCCAGATGTTCTATGTTTACACATGTGCGGGCCTTCAGATGCAGATGTATTGTGGCATTAAGCTGAAGTTGGTCTTTTTTTTTTTTTTTTTTTTTTTTTTTTTTTTTTCACGCATTTTTCTAAGCATTTCCATTAAATGAGACAAAAATGTATTTTTTAACATCTGTGCATGAATTGAAGTATTCAAGCTGAGTGGAAACAACCTTTTAAAATGTGTTAAGAATAAACAGAGCCCAACCAATTTATTGGTGTGCAGATGTTATCGGACGATATTAGCTGTTTGCTGATATATTAGTGTTAGGGTTTATAATTTTCAATAAATAAAAATTAAAAAGGTAGAGAAGAGACAAAAAAAAACACCCTTCAACCATGCTGTTGATGTTGCATGGTTTGTCCAACAGAGGGCACTCAACAGCAACAAAACAACCAGCTGATCCAAACAGAGTTGGCCAGAGTGTAAAGTCATAAATAAATAACAAGAAAAAAAAATGCTGGGTAATTCTTTTTGTTTAATGTGCCTGAAAGAGAGAAAACAAAATAAATGTTTATATTGCAGTATTGGATATTAGTATCTTAAAAATTTGTAAGGACTCTTATGTGCTTACGTGAAGCTGAAACCTAAAACCTAAATTCTTCTGTTCCCTGAAACTATATATTATCATATTTCAATTCCCACTTCAGATATTTTCCTCAAATAGAAAAACAAAACAGAAATAAAAACTTGTGTGAACCATTATAGATGTAAAATTTTGAATTATTGCTCAAATATTGTTGTACTACTGTTACTTTCAAGATAAAGTAGTAAATGTTCAGATTTTCTAAAATTTGATAATATGTAACCAGCAAGTTTTTTGTTTTTTTTTATAAAAATATTTTTGCCCTAATTACTTTTTTAAAATCTTCAGATAATTAGTTAAAAGATGGCTACCAATATAAAAAAAATCTGCTACTAATGTTTTATTTTAAGTGATCAAAAGGATTTTACAACAACAAATGTTATCTATCATTTTTTTAACAATCCATTTAAAACTACAAACATTAAACCTGAAACTGTGAAACTCTCAAATGATTGACAAAGCAGTTAATCAGCTTTCATTGTAGTAAAATAAGTGTAACTTAGCTTCCTAACTTTACATAAAAGTTGCTTGTTGTTTTTGATTTTGTTCTTTGACAAAAAAAACACGTTAACTCTCCTATTTATAAAGGGGGAAAAAAAAAAAGACCAACTTGTAGCTGCCGTTTTTGCTAGATTTGTGAGGACATTGTTGTGATACATCAGAGGGATGTTTACATTTTTTGCAATAATATGTAATTCATTGTTTTGCCAATCCAAATTGGACCAATATTTGAAGATTATTGAAATGTATAGTCTAAAGAAGTGTGGTCTTAATGTATTTAATCATGTTTGTCTATGAATCTTATTATTTGAGATACAATGTTCATTTGTCAGCCTCAGTAGAGTGAATTTAACTTTAAAAAGAAAAATGTTTTCTTGACTGTCAGTTAGCTCAACATGAACAGTGCCATATATTATGTTACCATTGCCAATACTTCAGAGTTTATTGCATTACATTTTTCAAAGCTGTGGTGATGTATCATAAACGACTCCGTAAGTCAATCATTCATTTTCTCAGAATAATGTTACGTGTGGTTTTATAGGTGTTATAAAATTCTGCACCATTACCGTGATTGCCACTGTTTATTGATTAATAATCAATGACGTTTAAGTAATTGTTTTTCAAATCATTCAGCTTCAAAATACTCGCTGCTGAGGTCAAACGAACTCGGGGGCCATAAGATAACGGCACCCACCTCATTACTCACTGTGATTGGCCTGGTGCCGATGCTATCTCAAGCATTTACTTTTCATAAACTTTAGTATTTATGCCTAAGGCATGATTCACACAGGTGTCTGAGGTTGTCAGTGTGGTGTGGTTGTTTCTGCTTGTGCAATCTGCAGGGCAAGTGGCAACGAGTCCTCCCATTAGGTTCCCCAAAACAGCATTTATTTGAAGGGGTTGTTTTAAAATAAAAGTCAAAATAAAAATAATATATATTCTTTGTGTTTACTGTGAAAGCGTAATTGCATATCTTATCCATTAAAAAATAAAAAAATAAAATCTTGTTGTGCCTTGCATTTTCAAGCTGAAGAAATATCTTTACTGCCATTGATTGTAGCATCCTGATGGAGAAAAGAAAGTCAGCACCTCTTGAAGGTTTGGAGACAGAAAGCAAAATAGCCTTTTAGTCTTTTGTGTTGTACTTTGTAGTCAATCCTGATGGTCAATCACTGTATTTTTTTTCCCCCTCTTTATTTTTCTTAAATGAAGTTTGTTAAAAGAGAAGTTTGGCATTTTCGGAAAAATGAATATTTGCTTTCTTACTAAGAGTTAGATTGATGCCACAGACACTTATGTGATGTGAAAGATGTAGACATAGGTTTGTGAAGCCCTGGTTTGAAGCCTCAATTTTAGCATGTCATCTGCTGCCATGATGGGGTTTTTTATTTGGCACATTTTGAACAGAGGGTGACTTGCTAATATATCAGCTAACGCTGGCAATCTTGGGTAACTTGGAGAGCACATTGGTGTTAAGTAACATAACACTAAAATACTAAAAGAAAATAAAAAAAAATAGAATTTCATTTTGTTTTTGTTTTTTTTAAATACTATTTTACTGTTTAATTATTTGAAAAAGCATAGGGGAAGGCTAGTAGACAGCTAATGCTAGCAGCCACTTGTGTTGGTAGGCTAACTACCTTTTAAAATGCTGTTATAAAAATATTCATAACTCACCACTTTAGAGTTGTTATGAAGTGATAAATTGATTCATTTTTATTTTATTTTAGTTTACACGGTTTAAAAATGCTTATTTATCCTGAATGACTTGCCAGTTCAGCAGCTTTATATGTGTTAAAATGATAAGGTTTATCATGCTCCCACCTAGCTTAGCTCAACTTGACTTAGAGACTGAAAAGCATCCTATCTTTATTTGCAGGCGCTCTGCTTGTCAAAGTCCTGCTCAGCTGATTTTGTGTTTTTAAAGCCAAATGAATATAAAAATGGACGTTCAGGAGCAAAGAGGAGTACTGTCAGTGAAGTTAAGCTATCTAGAATGACTACTGTACATAAGAAGCATACTGTGGTAGTATTATGAATCGTTTCTGTCTGACAAAATGTTTAAGTTTGAAACACGTGGATAAAATGTCTATTTTTAATCTTTTCTGAAGGTGTCATTATAGTTGAAGAAAAGAGACATACGCTTGATTAATTTCTGAGACTTCTCGGAGAAATCCAGTTTGCCAGCTCAAGTTTGGGTATTAAAATGTGAATTCACATTATTAACAGCATTGTTAAATTTTTTTATTTTATTTTAATTTGATTATTTTATTTGTTAAGCACTGTAGTTAAAATAGAAATTGCCGAGGCTCAGAGGTGTTGCTTGGCAGATTCCACTACCTTTGGACTTAAACAGGGCAGCTGCTTCAAGTAGCTGACAATCTTCACGCTGAACTAGCAGTCTGCAAGTGGCAGCTTTATATTTACTGTAAAGACATGAGATTGGTGGTGTTCTCATCCAACTCTTGAAGGCAGATAAAGCATTTTTCCTAAAAATGTGGGACCATTCTTTTAAGTTGTTGAAATTGAATCTGAATATTTCAGAGTTTTTATTTGAGCCAACTTGAGACGCACAGTGATTTGTAAAAGTCTGAGCAGTGAAAAAGCCAAACTCAGTATGACTGGAAAGGTGTGAATCATGACTAGTGTGTTGTGCAGCATGCATCGTCGATTATAAGTAAAGATTATTGTCTTTGTCATCTAACCGTCAGGTGACTGATTTCCCATCAGCTGCAGCTTCTGTAGGTATAGCTGAATGAGGAAATAAAACATCATTTTTGTTGTTTGTTTGTTTTTTAATTTTTTTTTTTTTTTTTTTTGGGGGGGGGGGGGGGTTGTATATGAATCATGTGTTGGGTTTAAAGAATACAGTGGGAACAGAAAGGCCAGCAGTTATACATCACATCGTCTTCATCAGTGCTTTCCACGAATATTCATAAAAATGGCACATTGTAACACCTCAACTTCTCGTTCATGCTACAAGATCTTTGTCAAAAATATAGAAAAGCATCAGAAAACTGTAATATCATTATTGTTATTATTATTATTGTGTATTTTTATTTTTATTTTAAATCTGGTTTGTTTTCGTCCGGGTGTAATTGCCACCGGGGGTGATGTACATGTACGGGTCTGAGCTGTACATTTTTTTTGTGACTGATTTGTGTATTTACATACAGTTTGGGCTAACTTTGTGACTATTATATGAATTTATGAATTGAATGAGTGCCAAATATGCTTGAGCATGACAAAATCTGGGACCTGCAAGGAGCTGCAGGCACTCTGACTCATCAGAGTGATGCCTGAGTGACTCACTGCTGTTGTAGACTCTCCTTGAGTTTTGAATGCACAGCTGAAGGTTTAATCATGCTTAATATTTTTTATGAAAATGAGGGGGGGGACTTCTTTATGTTTTGGTCTCAGTTTGAAAAACTTTCTTCAGATATTTGTTGTACGTTTCTGTGTCCAATCATGGCTTATTAATGAGTATGCAGTGATGGTCTTATCATGCTGCCATTAGAGGTGATTATAAAAAGCTTCATTTGTTGAGATGTCAAAAAAGTCATTTTGGGTCATTTTCATTCTTAAATCATTCCACACAGAGACGCGTTGTATGTTATCTAAACTCCTCTTCATCCCAAAAATAAGGTGAGCCTGACATCTGGTGAATTTTACCCTGAATTTTATCAAATATAGAGTGTGGATTTGTCCAAAATGTAAAAGTAAATGTAATTCTAATAATAAAATGAAGCTATGGAAAAAAACAAACAAACAAAAAAAACTCCGCTGTGCACTAAATGGCGTCTGTTTTTTCTTCATGTCGACATATCAGTAGCAAAGCTTTTTCCCCTCCAGGATCATGTGCCTCGTTGTTCTTACATTATGGCATTTACTGAATTTTTTTTTTTTTTACAATCAGAGTTTAAGAATTAAAGAAAAGT